TCCAGAGCAAGAACTAATCTGTTGATGCTTTCATCCAATGGTTTATGTGGCGACACACAGTTGAACCTGCTAAATTGGCCACTTAAGAAGGTCACTTGTATTGCCACTTTCTCTTCCCCCCCCTGTCTTGCGTTTTTTTCTATATATTGTAACTGTGTAAAACGATACCCTGTCGCTCATATGACCTAATGCAGTTGCGAGCGCCATAAAACCTTACTATTGAGTGGTTGGTGGGTGCTCTGGTGTGGTTTGTTTCTTCTTTCTTATCAAACATCTATCATCTTTATCTCTCCTTCTTTTTTGTGTTTGTTACTCTCTTGTAACACCTCTAATCTTCGGCACTTATATGACCTTATTGTGTTGAAAGCGCCGTAAAACACTTACTTAAAAAAAAAAAACTTTACTAAAACAAACAAACAAACCTGTCTGAGATGGCCATACGACTCTCTTATTCTTATCGGCTGGCGCGCTGCCATAAATTATACATCGCCTCCTGTTGCTGTGGAGGAGCCGTCATAATTTACTGACCTATCGTTGTTGTAGTCAAACCCCCCCCCATGAGCTGACTGATCATGCTGCGACGTAGATTCCTCTCAAGTTTACCTACCAGGTACTATAAAAGAGAAAGAAATTTATTTTTACGATGGTAAATGCACGAGTCCCTCTTTTGATCAAAGGATATTAAGATTGCTTCTCTTGTTTCTGTTGCTGACTCTTGGATCTGAAATGCCTAGGCTTTTGAGAAAATTTAAGGTTCCAACTTGTAGACATGTATGCATTTCAAAACTGCACACACTCTTCATTTATGCCGTTTGATGCTTTGGTCACATGTAACATTGTTTCATTGAAAAAATAATGCACCATATTCACAGAGTAAATTGCAGTGATTTATGTTGGTACGAAGTTGTGAATGATGAGTATTTTCTTTTCTCCCCCCCCCCCCCCACATCTTTTATATTCAGAGTGTGAGCCATATTGATGCCCAGTCAGTACATTCTGTCGATGATCGACTCCTGTCCCGAGAACACACCTCCTCTGCATCTGCTCTCTTGCAAACTGGTGCTGCTGCAGACAAAACCGAAAGAGCTCTCAGGGTAAAGATGTGCTTACTTTTATATCTTTACTTTACTTTTTTCTTCCACTTGTACTGGTGGGTGTCGCGGGATGATACAGGCGCCTGTCTGCAGCAAGGCGAGTGGCCTGTAGGAGGGACATCCTATATTTTTACATTTTTGTTACAAATCCTTTTCGACCTCTTGTGTTGACAGGTGGTTGGTGGGCGCCACTGGTAGGTCTACTTATCTACTTCTTAACATTCCCTCTGTTGTTTCTGTCTGTCTGTCTGTCTTTTCACCTTTCTAAATGACCATTATTGGTGAGATGCTCAGTGATGAGTGTGGGTGGTTGGCGGGTGCTCTGATGTGGTTTGCTTCTTCTTTCCTATGAAACATCTATCGTCCTTATCTCCCCTTCTTCTTTTTTATGTTTGTTACTCTCTTGTAACACCTCTAATCTTCTGGCACTCATATGACCTTATGCAGCTGCGAGCGCCATAAAACTCTTACTAAAACTAAACTTTCTGTCTGTCTGTCTTTTCCCATCTCTAAATGACCATTATTGGTGAGATGCTCAGTGATGTGTGTAATGTTTCTAGCTAGAACAATTTTGTTGCTATAGGAACTCAAAGAGGAGCATGACCAGTTGAATGATGACTACAGCACCTTGTCCGTAGAAAATCTCCGGCTTCGAGACAGGGTACAATCCCTTTTGGGCAGGTTGAATGACAAAGATCAACAGGTTGGTCTCTTTATGTTCCTTTTTGCCTTCTTTATTGCTGTTGTTTATTTTGGAAACTTACCAGAGTTTATAAGTTCATGCAGTTATTAATTATCTGTGAATCTTCCCCCGCTCCCTTCCCTCCTTTTTTTTTCTTGTAAACATCCCCTGCCCACCCTATCAAGGTGATAGAGTGATTACTTGTAACCCCCCCCCCCCCCCCACTTTTAAACCCCCCCCCCCCCCGCCCGACCTGAACTTGTCAGGAAATTGATTTCCTTTGGGGTAAGAAACAAGAAAGATTATATTGCAATACAAACATTGCAGACTCTCCTTACTCAACAAATCAAAGCTGCTGGATTTGATACTTTTTGATGTCCTAAAATCTATTGTGGAAAAACAGAAATTATTATATATATATTTTTTTTTTTT